TTGTTGCTGTACATAAGAATATTTTAAAGCTTTTTATATATCATATTAGAAAACCCCCACATATATTACACCTAATACACACATTCTGCCACTGTGTCACTGACGTTTGCTTGATCAATAGAGAGAACAGTATATGTGTCATGACCAAGGTGCTTTACCAGCTGTTTCTGGGGAAAGAGATAGCGTTTCCATTCATTGTTCGACCTCCACCGCTAGTCTGGGGATTCACACTGGCAACCCTCCAAGCCCATTTCCCTAAGCTCCAGGATATTCAAAATCTATTTTACATTTGGGCTTGAGTTAATATCTTTAAACATTTTGTTCTGGTCCAGCATGATCCAAATCCCATTCTCTTCGGCCAAAGTCCCTTTATTTACTAAATACTGGCTTTTTTGGAGGGGGGGCTGGTGTCATGCTGTTAAATTTCAGTCTACTTTCAACTCGTCGACCTCACTCAGCCTATCTGGTTACCATAACACTCTTTCACAATTTTATTATTTGATCCAGCCTGAAACACTTTATCGTACCAATCAGTCATTTCTCTCCAACCCGCCTACCTGTCTGACCTGGTGTTTTGTGTGTGTGTGTGTGTGTGTGTGTGTGTGTGTGTGTGTGTGTGTGTGTGTGTGTGTGTGCGTGTGTGCGTGTGCGTGTGTGTGTGTGTGTGTAGAGAAGACCTTCAAAACTGTTTGATGGTAATGAGAATTCATTTTGTGGGCGTTAAAGCTGCCTACCAGCAAAAAGAATTAGCATCAGAATCAGCATCAGCCACACAGAGGGCACCAATCTGAATTAAAGCTCTTTGAATTATTGATTTCCACCTGCTGGAATCACATCCCATCTCCTCTGTATCTCTCTTTCATCCCATCACTTCAGTTCCTCTCATTTTTTCCATATGTTGTATCATATCACACTGAGAAAAACTGTAACCAGTGTGTTTTGGTTGTGGATGTACAAAACTTAAGTTTTGAGCCTATTTGTGTTTATTCTTCAGCGGATGTGTGTGCATCACAGTGGGAGTTTAGCTGTGTGTGTGTGTGTGTGTGTGTGTGTGTGTGTGTGTGTGTGTGTGTGTGTGTGTGTGTGTGTGTGTGTGCCATGTCTAACACAGACCTCTTTTAGTGTTATTAATATTAATTAATGTGTGCTGTCAAGGAGGCAAAGAAACAATTCATTGCTCACATTTATTGTATTAAGTGCTTCATGATTTATTAATGGGCATGTTTAAGGTTAGAGCAAAGAAAGGGAAGGGAAAATAAGAGAGAAGGGCAAGCTATAAATTGATTCCTCCCACAAAGACAAAAGTCTATTAAAGTAATTTGTGAGCCTATTGAAATGTGGATTCGTTGGCCTTTAAGCTTTTTATTCATTAGATGGTGAAGCTGTCGGCATATCTCAAAAGTGTCATTTTGATCATGAATATTTTATTTTCATTTATCTGATTAGATGGATACCAAGGTTTGCTTTCATATTTTTCTTTTTATCCTCCCACCCACAGGCTCTTAGCAAGCAGACATACTGAACAATGCTACTGTTGCATATATTCCCACTATAGATGACCTCACTGTCACTGCTTCTTTCAGTGTTTCTCATCTGTATGCATTACGTGTCAGTGCTTATCTTTTTTTTTTCCTACCCCTGTCTATCTGTCAAGCTGAAGGATTCCACTCTTCCTTCCTGTTTAATGTCCTTTCTTTGTACAGTACACAGTCTACCGTCTTTCTGTCTCTCACACACCATCTGTCTGTCTGTTGGTGTCTCTGTCTCTGTCTTAACTATCTCTCACAGCAGTTGGTCTCCTGCCTCATCCTCCACCTCACCCTCCATTATAGGACTTGGCATGTCGCTGCATATCTATATCATTATACCTTGAAGAAATGTGTGTGTGTGTGTGTGTGTGTGTGTGTGTGTGTGTGTGTGTGTGTGTGTGTGTGTGCGCGTGTATACATGTGCTACCATGTTCCATTTAATCGAGGTTCCCTGTTGGCACATAGGACAAATTGATCAGTTGGTTTGCCAGCTGTCCTGGCAGATCTCTCCTTCTGTCTCTCTATTTCTCTAACCATCCCCTCTCCCTTTCTCTCCCTGACGCTCTCATTTCCAGTATAACTTGTATACCTTCGCTATGAAAAGGCAAAGGGACGAAAAGGAAAAAAAAAGTCTTCTAATGACTGGAGTGGTCTTCTTTACAAGCATCTTCTGTGTGTATCACTGTTTGATGCATTTTACAGATTCCACATTCTCCCATTGGCAGATGGCTGCTGGCCCATTTTGACTGATGTGACCTTTCCTGGCATTGGCTGTTGGCGTGCCTTCGAATGATGCCTTGCTGTGGAGAATGATGGGCAGCGTGCAAATCCAGCTCCTTTTGTTATCTGAGCTGCACATATTGTCTTGATACACCCCTATCATTAGACGCACATTTCCAAGGTGGGCTGGCAGAATGTGTATCCACGCTGAATTGAAGAGATAAGTCAGGATTGCAGCCAGCCACGAATATGGCTAGCCTGCTTTTAAGCATGATTGGTGGAAAATGCGAAACCCATTTCTGTTCTCATAGATCTATGCATAATTTTGCCTTGATTCGGGTGCTATTCACGCTTGATGTCCTTGGCTTGGTGAGGGAAGGATAGTGGCACCATGGTCAGGAACAAAGAAAGTCTACTCCAGAGCAGCTTGACAGGGTGTGTGTGTGTGTTTCTGTTGTGTCCCCATGCTTCGCTGTGCTGTGAGCTGAAAGCGAGAGGCTTTTCTCTGTGTAATGACAGATATTAGAAAGTCGATTACAAGGTTCTTACAGCCTTGGATACGCATACTCACAGGCATACACACATGTGCACAGAAGCAAAACACACTCGCATGCACACTCACTCTAGTGTGAGCCAGGAGAGGCTGACGGGGCCTGCTAATCGTTGTGTGATGGCAGGCCTTTTGTGCGTGTGTATGTTTTGTTAGAGTGGCTGAGTAAAAGAGGTGGGATAGCCCCTTCGTTATTGTGCATGTGTCTTGATGAACTTTCATAAGCCAAAAGCATTCTGGGACAGCTTTGTGTGTGTCTTTGCACCTGCTGTGTGCGCCTCTACTTGCCTGTCTCACATACAGACCTGTCGTCTCCTCTCTGCCTAATTGACTGCATTCTAGTGTGACACATTGCCGGAGGTGGGAGAGATGCTCTGGCGTCTTACTCCACAAAACTTCACTCACTATTTAGCTGAATTCCAGACCTCTAATCGGTCTGCCATTGCTCTCATGAGTGGCTTGTTCTAAAGATGGATAAATAACCAAGCCAATGACAGCCTTTAACCGTGGCAATAAAGATGGTGACTAAGATGTGAGACAAACAGTTATCTTGAACTTGGTTAATTACCGTTCTAAATCTCATGATACACATAACATGCCATACAGAACCACAGAATATACATTTAACATGTTTGTGATCTAATTATTTAAAAACATGTTTCAACCTTGAATAAATCTAATTGATTGCTTTAATGATTTGTCTTAATGTCATTAAACAGTATTCTCTTTTTTTTTTGGTAAGTGTCCAATAGTGAGACACAGAAAAACAATGGGTTTTGTACTTTGGATATCAATTATTTTGTATATCAGGGAACTTCATTGTGCATTGTCACTTATTCAACCAGCAAATCAGTTGCTTCTCCCACAGACAAGACCTAACAAGAAGCCATGACTGGATAATGAAGTGGTAACGAAATGCCCATTCAGTCTGAATATCACCCTATCCTTCTAGCCACTCAAACCTCAGGCGCTAATGCATGGGAAAGAAAGCCTGTTGGAGGATGTGTTTCTAATTGGAGGAGGGAGAGTTAAACAGAGTGATTATCCCGAGAGAAGAACGGAAAAAAAGGTAGAAAGCAGAACAGAGAAGAAAAACAAAGCAATAAAGAGTGGGGAAGGGTTAAGAAAGACGGATGTATTAGGAGAATTGGAAGAGAGTAGAGGAGAGAAAGGAAAAGAGGGAGAGAGCATACCAGAGCTGTTAAAGTAGACCCGCTGTTTCGAATACAGTCTCAGAAGAGAAGAGACCGGAGCATCGAGCGGTAGCTGGCTCCCTGATTTCACACCCATTATCACCTGCTACAAAGCCACAGCAAGTGGAAAATGAAACTGCATAGAGGGAGAGTGTAAAATAACCTGTTTTTATTCTCTGTGTGTTTGTGAGCGCATGTTTTACGCCCCGCCCTATTGTCACACATGCATTGATAAGCTTCTGTTACATGGTGTGTATTCTTGTGTGCTGCACGTGTAAGGGTCATGGGTGTTTATCAACCTCACCCACATTCTCACCTTTCGTTGTCTCTCTCTTGTGTACAGTAGTTGGGCGTCGCAGACTGTAGAGGGAGGTATTTGGGGGAAAAAAGTAAAATAATGTGGCAAATGTGGAAAATGACGAGAAAATTAAGTTTCGGGGGGTTTACAGCTGGGAGCCTGCACATTGCCTTGGCTTGTTTTCATTTGCCTAGCTGGATCAATCCAGTAGCAGCCTTTGATGCCATTTGCCAAGGCCACTGATCACACGTAATGTGAGAATTGTGTTTGTCAGATGGATTAAGCCAAAGTCCCCTCTACTTTTCTCCCTTTATCATACATATTATATTGTCTGTACTTTCCTGCAATTTCACTTGCTTTCTATTTTTTCTCCTTTCATACTTAATTTTCTCTCTTGAAAGCGAGATTACAGCTTTTTTTTTGTACGGCTTTAAAATGTTGCTGTGCTTAGTGGAATACTGAAGTCTCCATGCAAAGAAGAGGAAATGTTGTGTGTGATTTTTGAAACATCCCCTCGGTAGAAATATCTCACAGGTTTTAAATTTATTTTACATAACAATGTGTGATTTATGTATTCATCCCCCAGTGCTCAATTCTCTTAAAATATGGCTCTCAATGGGATTTCCCTTGTTAAGATAAAGGAAAGCAGGAATTATTAAATACACTTTCTTGGACATATTTAAATGTGCTGTATGTGTGTTCTTTTCCAGCATGTCCCCCTGGCTCCTACAAGATGTCCTCCAGGCAGCAGGAGTGTTTTCCCTGCCCAGCCAACAGTGTGGCAGAGGAGGAAGGGTCTGTGGTGTGCGTGTGTGAGGAAGACCACTTCAGAACCCCCCTGGACACTCCCTCAGCACCTTGCACAAGTAAGATTATGTGTGTATTTGTGTGTCCTCTAAAACTGCACCTTTTTCTTTACTAGTGACTGTCACACCAAATAACTCAATTGCTATATTATATGCATTAAGTGAGCAATTTCACATTTTTAAGCCCATCATCATCACACCCACCCATTCAGCCTTTCATATATCTGCTCTTTCTGCCTTTTTATCCTTAAAGACCACTTTGACCCTGTGGTTCAACCCGTCCTTCACCCTGCTTCCTTTCATCCACCTCCCCCTTTTTTCATCTCATAACCTCTTTGTCTGACCCGCGCCCACCTCTCCCCAGTTTCTGTCTCACCATCCATCCTCATTCCCCCGTCTCCTGCTCTTCCTCATCACCCCATTTCCATATCCCATCTCCCCCAACCTTCACCTCCCCTTCACCCTATACCCCTCCTCTAGTATTGCATTCCTGTCATGTAGAAAAATCCACCCAAAGACATGTTAGCTTTATCTTTTAATCATCCCAGATTGTTGACCCATAATCTGCCCCAAAACAGGATCCGTGCCTTGAGCTGTGAGAGAAAGTTGTGAGGTTGTCAGAGTTGTAAGAGTTTTTACAGAAACAAGCTGAAAGCTACAAAGACGTGAATGCTCAAACAAACTTTTTTTCTTTTCTTATTTCCCCCGATAACATCAGTAAACATAGAACATTTGCTGTTTTATTTGCTAGAGACTAAGTAGGGATTTATTTTGAATCAACAGTTTTGATGTAGTACATTTTAAGGGTAAATTCAATTCTTGTTTGACCAAATTTGTAGACATGGTCTTCCACAGAGAAATCACATTATGATCATTCACATTTTTTTATTTTTTAAGGTGGACCTTCCCCCCTTCTGACCTGTGCTTATACCCTCTTATATGTCATCTAATAGTATACACCGCAGCCATTTTCTCTGCCTCTTAACCTTTTTCACTTTTATCACCGATACATCCTTCATCCCTCCTTCTAACATTAGGTTCCCATTATGCATTCGTCCAAAAAGCCCATCATCCCATTTCTCCATTTTTTTGTTTAACCTTGCACATTCTCTCCATATTCCTCCGCCTTTTCCTGTACATTACAGATCCATTTTCTGCTGTACATCCATTATCCACCCCATTCACCGGACCACCCCATCTTTTTCTACCCCCTCCACTCTTTTCCTTTTGACCCCTGAACACACATTTCCCTCCATTCTCTCTGTCTGTCTTCTTAACTCAGCCACTCATCACTCTTCCTTCTGCCAACCGCTTCTTCACATTTTCCTTCCTCTTCATCCTTTCATCCATGCGTGTTATCACCCCATTCTTCTTCCCTCTGTCAAACTGAAATCTCATCCCTCTATCCTCAAGCGACAAACTCTATAATCTCATCCCCACTGTCCACGCATTATCCGTTCATCCCTCACCTCTTACCTTTTCTCACCCCTTCTCACATACCGAATACCATTCTTCTCCAATAAAGATGCAGTATAAGGCCAATAAGACAAAGACTATACAGGGTAGGCCTATTGATTCCTGCATGGCGAACAGCCTATTGATATAGCTTAGTAATTAGATGGAGGAATAATGGGCTCTGTATCCCGAGAGTACTCAGAGCCATAAAACCTTAGGGTCACAAGGGGTGTGGGTTTGTATACATACACATTCACTTGTGTGTATATATGTATATATATATATATGTGTGTGTAAGTGTGTGGTCATACTAGCTTTTATGCTAACTGCAATGGAGGGATGTAATTACACTATTGATCGCTGAGCTCTCTGATCCCTGTGCGATAACATTTATAGCAGCCTAATGACCACATTAATTACGCTATTGATTTGGTAATTATGATCATCCCCAGATTCAGCTAATCCACCGCATGGTACGGACGGAGAAAGCAAGAGAAAGAGAGGCATTGAATGACGAATCAAGAATTATAAGTATAAAAGAAAAAAAGGGAGATTTTGCCAGATGAATGAAGGTTTGAAATGCGCACCTTATTATCTCAGCAATTAAAGAATAATACCAGTGTAATTTTATTCCTTTCCTTTTGCCATTAATGCCTGTGAAGTCTAACCCTAATGTGTTTACCACACTTATAAGCTACTGCAGTCTCTTTGAAATAATAGACTCGTCACTGTTTTACAAACCTTTTTGAAGCAGGTGAAAAAAACACATGGCTACATTATTTCTAACAAGATTCATCTTGTAGAACTTCCTGACATATAATTACCCGTGTTAATGACGATTATTTGCAAAATTTACATCATAGCACACTGTTAAATGTTCCCTGGTGGCTGTGAAGAGGAAGAGAAAAACTTTGGAAGCAGTGAAAGGAAATGTTTCTTTGTATTCAGTTTTGGCAGAGTGGGACTACTGCTGACAGGACTGCAATGTCGATGACTAACATAATAACTAAAATAAAAAATATCTTACAGTAATGCATAATGTTTGCCAATGTGTGTCTCTGCAAATGGATTTTTGAAAACAGTCGGGAACCCATGACTTCCAGGAGGAAGGATAAAGTTGCAGCATAACCGTTTTAACTTCTAACTTGGGGAAATGCATACAGACAATGTAGACTTTTCATGGAGCTCAATGGCAATAGTGTAAAACGACTCCAAAAACATCAAGAGCAAGCTTGGATCTGCTTCGGGACATCTTAAACTTGATTAGAATCACAACATATCTGTGATCTAATTCTCTTTCTAATTCTCTTCTCTTCTCTTTTCTAAGAGGGGAGAGTGTATCATGTATATTAAGCTATCTCAATGAATCCATCTTGATCATTACACAAACACTAAAACATCATTATATAGCTCACTCGGGATGGGAACCGGACTGATAATAGCTTAATATTAAATGTCAGCTAATGTGGTTAGATTCTGACTGAGGCAAGTACATCAGTGCAGACTCTTCTTAGGCTTTAATGATTGCATTGTTAAAACAACATCAAGAAGTTTTGATTTGCTATGATACAGTATCTTGGAGCAGATGGAGACAGATGGAGAGTGGAAGAGGGCAAAAGGCAAGAAAGAGAGGAGCAAGGGAGTTGGGGAGGTCAAGTTTTAATAAGCAGCACTCAGATTCAAATATGATAAGAGGAAAAATGGAAGCTTTAAGAAAAAAAAAAGGGAGTGCAAGGCCCAGAAAGCAAGAAAGTAGAGAGGGATGTGAATAAAAGGCCCAGCTGTGTCTACATCAAATGTGTGTATGTGTGTTTGTGTGTGTTCACACACTCTGAATGCTCTCTGGGCTTATGTAACTCTGTGCTCCATGTGTGTCTGGGAGCGGGACGCAGCTGTGGTGTGTGTGACGTGTTTGACAGCACGCACAGAGCAGCACACCTTCACTTATTCATTACACAGCACATGCACACACATCCAGGGACACATACAAAATTCATGGCCTTTAATGGACCTAAGCTCTAGTCAGCCCCCACTGTGCAAAGACCTGCAGGAAAAGGCACAGGTCAGTCAGGACACTGACTTAGTGATGAGATACAGTCCTCTAGCCTGACATTTTACAGCAATTTAAATCCTGGACTGAATATTTTAATTTTAGCTTCTTTTTTTTTGTCATGTGTGATTTTAAACACGTCAGGTTTTAAAGTCTGATGCATCAAGACAGTCTAAAGGCAGATGATGTAATTTTTCCTCCAGATTTCATTGGCTTTGACAACTTAAGTGTAATGAAGAGATGCATTACCATCTACACACCAGCACAAATTTTGACATACACAGCTGGCAGCTCAAACTTGTGATGCATCTGGCTTATCAAATCAGATTCGTGGCCTTCTCTATGGCAACTCACCTTTATTTACTGATGGTAAGTGGAGGATTTGTACCACGCAGCACTGGTGACATCAGTACATAATGGACAAACTCGTTATCCGTGCTTGTGCATGCACATTTTCATATAACAGGCAGTGTCATTGATAAGCCAATAAAACCAACACATTTTTTTAGCCCTGGTTTTATTGCCAAGTGTTTTTCCTATCTGACTGCATCATCAATAATCCCTGCTCCAATTCAATCCAATAAATGTTTATTTTGACTCCCACTGGTAAACCATAATAATGCCATATATACTAGTGTATCGCAGCAACAAGTCCACATTTTCAATTGCTTATTCCCATTACGGTCAAATGGTTCTCATGAAACCAATTTCATAACACCAAATCCTGGATAAAACAGGATTATCATAGCATGATGTGCAAACTGAGCTCATGCAATCACACCATAATACCCAATGCACCTAGACCATCAGTCATGTGAAAATGTTTAAGCTTGAGCTTCATGATGTTTGAGCTGTCTCTTTCTACACCATGCAGGTAGCATGCTACAGTGAAACATGGTATTGCTTTTATTCACTCAGGGAAGTTTTATAGAAAAACCCTTTTTCTATAAATGCTCAACAACACATTTACAGTTTCAATAAGTGGACACTACAAGGTAGTCTTTGAGGTCTTTTCTTGGGAGTGAATAATGCTGCTGCTGGGATCCCTCCAGTGTGTTTATTAGGCATTGCTTTGCATTTCTTGGTGTAGTGGCATGATTAGAAAAAATGACATCCTTTGCATAACAATTACAGAACCGAGGATGTGTTTGATTAAGTATTGATGTTTACAAAGGAGGGAATGCATACAGTCTATTCCCCTCTCTGTTTCTTTGTTTGTTTTCAGAAAAGACTAAGACATTCTTTAAGGTTCAAACAATAAACCAAAATGCCATTTTCTTACTCCTTCCTCTCCAGGGCCCCCCTCCCCACCTCGCGACTTGGTCTGCACTCTGAAGCAGTCCACTCTGATCTTGGAGTGGGCCGCCCCATCCGACACGGGAGGCAGGGCAGATCTGACCTACAGTGTGGGGTGCCGGAGGTGTGTCGGGAGGCAGTGCGAGCCATGCGGGGCAAGTATTGGCTTTGTGCCGCAGCAGGTGGGCCTGACGGAAAGAACGGTGACTGTGGTCAATCTCCTCCCCAACACCAACTATACGTTTACCGTAGAAGCCTTGAATGGTGTGTCAGAGCTGCTGCCCAACAAGAGGTTCTACACCCAGGTCAACGTGTCAACAAGTCTGCCTGGTGAGTACCAGTTTGATCTTTTGGTCTCTGAAATATTTAGAAACAGCAGCATGTGTTTCTCAATTTGAATATTACACAGTAAGTCCAGGAGGATCATGCTGATTTGACTGAATTTGCAGGAGCTTTTCCAAATGGTGAAAGTTGCAGTAATATTTGTGTTATTTTGCTATATATTGTGCTAATATTGGCTGTGGGGAAAAGATTATCTTCACAACTGGGTCTGATTCTTACAGGATGTAATCTTTTGTAATCAGTTTACTACAAGGCAGCCTAAAAAATAGCCTTAAAACTAAATTTGTTCTAAGCTTTTGTTTCATAAAAGCACATTAATTTCTTATAACAGTAGTGGAGGCAGTCGTCAATTCAGCAAGGGTGGGCTGCTTATGCCTACACACACGCGCCCATGAAGTATATGCATATATATTCACACACGTAGGCATATGTACACTTGCCAGGGCCGTCTATGTCTCTGTTCATAAATAGATTTATTTACACTTTCATACACACAGTGACCTTTTGAATACGCTTGTAATTTATGTAGATTCTGAACATGCATTCAGCAACATACAGTACTGTACTGGCATTCAAAACCAAATGTGCATCCAGTAGTGATTTTTATTTGTGTTTCTGCTCATAGCAACACAGACTCTTTCCTCATACTGACAGTGTGCCCCGTCACTGCAGACGGAGCAAAAAGTCTTGCTGGTGGAGGTGATCTCATTTTCATCAGCAGAAGCCTTTCAGCAGGCCATTAGCCAGGGGCTTGAAAAAAAGCACTTTGCAAAGTAGCCCTGTCAACCAGCTCTGCAACGACACCATTTGAAGGAGCTCAAGTGTGAAGAGACCGAACACACACACACACACACACACACACACACACACACACACACACTAAAAAAAGTGTACAAGAACACATTCTTGGCTTGAACGCTTAAAATCACTCTCTAATACACAAATGCATACATACATTTACCTGTCATACCTACTGTGCATATTTTTTGAAAAATGTACTCTGTTTTGTTTGTAAATCCTTTATTTGTAAATGCTGAAAGAAATATTATTGGGAAGCATAATGAAGCCAATGTAGTATGAAGGCAGAACCACTGAAGGGTGCTGCACAAGGAAGCAGGTGATGGAGAAACAATGAGAAAGTGAAAATGGCAGAGTGTGTTTTTGCCACTAATTGGAAATTAGCTTAGAGAAATGTGCTGCATAATGAATGGAGAACTGTTAGTCATATGTGAGTACTGAGATGGCAGCAGCACTCAGCATGGGTCTCTGCCTAGTTTCAAGTGAGCTATAACAGTTTGCTTGTGATAGCAAAAGCCCTCTCTTGTGCCTTTCTATATACAAAGAGAACAGCTTTAAGTAGATTGATAAAAGTATTTCGAATGAATGTGTGTGCTTTTCCGTGGCCCAGATTCTCATGTTGATCAACTGTAATGTTATGTAAGAGGAACATCTGGACATCTGGATCTGGACCACATAGAGGCTAAAGGACAGCTTTATGTGTGTGTAGTATGCACCGGATCTCTTTGAGACTGCAGTATGTTCCTAGTACGGTCATAGAGTAGTTCTGCCCCCCTTTTTATTCCTAACACCTTTTAGCATGCTTGCATTAAACTAATGGTATTTGATGTTACTTATGGTCAACTTGAAGCTGCATTAAGCAACATTTGACCACTCGTGAGCAGAAAGACAAACAGCTCAGACATACAGACTACCAACGCAAGAAGTTGTTGTAGCAAACATTTGCCATCTTACACATCCAGCAGACACAGAATATCAAATATCACCTGACCCCTTTATCAGTTGAATTCTATGATAGAGTGGCTGACACTCACATGGTTAACAAGTCACAACTTAGCCGTCTTCACTCCCCTAAAGGGATTTAGCTAGCCAAAAACCCTAAGCTACAAGGTTAGGAGACGGTATATCAGAAATGGCTAAACCTGTGGTGATTATTTTTCCCGTCCCTGCAGTTCTTTCAACCTTTCTCCCCTTTATCTCCCCTTACCTGTCGGTCTGTCTTGTCAGCAGTTGCCATGTCGTTGATTTGTGGTTATTATGGGGTATTAGGGTGTGAGTTGTCCTGCTCACGGTGTCATCTAGAGGGATTGGACAAGGGGTTAGGGGAGTGTGTTTGCAGGGGTTTCAGAAGACTTTCTGTGTCAGGGAGGATTTAGACTGACATTTGATGTGTGTGTGTAAAAAATGGCCTGATTTTGCAATGTGCTTTAGAATTACTTCCCATGTGTCTTGTCTTACCTCTTCTGACTTTAGTCGCATGTCAGCTTTTGTTCAAAGACCTGTGGTTTTTACGCCTGACCAACAGAGCATGGATCAGATCAACAGCTAACTAACTAAAGATCGCCTAAACCCTCTTGCTTGCTGCCTGCTCTCCTCAGTGGACAACTCTCCCTCAGGGTCAAGTCTGTATAGAGTTGAATGTCTGCTTTCACATGAGCTTGGGCTGGAGGAACGCAGTAGGATTAAGAACCTACCTAGTTATATCAGACATTGGATATATTTTCAGTAATGCTGGTGGAAATGGTCTTCAATATGAGACAAAATTAAAACTTCAGATAGATATATGAATTATATTATTATTATTATTATTATTATTATTATAGATTGTATTATTATTACCAGGTTTCACCAAACCTGCAAATGAATTGTCTTCCAGTAAACTGTATCCCGGAAAATATGGTACTAAATTAAAGTTTCAGATGAGTTAGTCTTGCTCTCTTTCTCTTGCAAAGTCATGTCGTCAGTTAGAGTTTTTTCTTTTTTTTAGCATCAGTAAAAAGAAAAAAAAATGGCATGTCTAATCCATATCTGATCCATAAAAAATTAAGACACTACTAATTACTCTGAAGTCTTATGTTTCAGCATTTGGTATCTGCAACCATGGGAGACAAACAAAACTATCAGGGAAACAGAGAAAAGACCCTTACCTTTTTTGCCCACTTTTAGCATCTACTGCCTAAAACTAAATCCATATGGACTTTATTTTTGCTACAGGTCCTGTCCAAAAGATTTTGTTCAAAAGATTGTGGGGGTGTGAGGGATCAGGGTGCTGTCGGCACTGTGAAGTGAGGTAGCTCATCTGCAGGAGCAGGAAGTAATGGTCAGAATGTGCAGCCAGGTCAGGTACAGAATTGAAAAAGACATTCCTGCATAGACCTCAACCTTGTGTCCATACACGTGCGTGCACCTCCACACCGAGACTTTACACCATCAAAACTCGCTGACCTTTATAAATAGTGCAGCAGGGATTTGGAACAAAGCTCACACATACTAGCACACATGCATGCACGCACACATGCACGCCTACACTCACTTTCCCTTTCCCTCTTGCTACCTCATCATCTCTTTATTACTTTTCGCTTCCTTTTTTTACCTCCTACTCCCCCTCTGTATCCCAATCTCTTCTTTTTTTACCTTTCTCATTTCCCCCCACCTTATCCTTTCCTGCTCTTTCCCATAAATTCACTATTCTTAGATGGTAATTTCTCTCCCTCCTCCTCCTGCTTCTCCATTTGCAACCACTCTTTCCGCTATCTTTTCTTTCTTTCGCCGACATAATCACTGCTGCCCTCTTCCTCCTCATGTCTGTGCTTCTCTCTATCCTCTATGCAACTTTCCCCGTCTCTTCTTACTGTACCATATTTGTTTTTCTGGGCACGGTAAGCTTGTTAGCAGCGGGTGGTAAAGCTTAGCTGGCAGCTGAGGACCAACAGAGCCTGAGGATTTAAGGGCATGGTCTGAGATTGGGAGAGAAGGTGCTAAAGGTTGTTATATTATGGCCAAAAACCCCAACCACACATATATAGACACACAGGGGGTCAATTTACATGTATGCATATATAAGATTTTCTTTCTTAGTGGATGAAAAGTGTCTGAAACAGCATATTAAATCTAGTGACATTAAGACGCTCCATTAAAACCAAATACAAATTGAATTTTTTAAAAGCATCTCCTTGAACCGGATTCTTGCACATGCACAGTGGAGGAGTGGATTTCTCCCAGACAGATGGGGTTTTATCAGGACTCTCCAGGCCACCAAGGGGAATGGGGGAGTTTTGCATAGCGTGTCAAGGATGGATGGATGGATAAAAGGGAAGAGGAGAGAGGGGGATAGAAACATGACTTGGGTTGCGTGAGGAGATGGGGCATGGGCTGGGTAAATGGGGGATCAGTTTTGCCCAGGGCTCATGGGGCCCCTTATCCAGCTGTGGATTAGGGATGGATGTGTGTGTGTGTGTGTGTGTGTGTGTGTGTGTGTGTGTGTGTGTGTGTGTGTGTGTGTGTGTGTGTGTGTGTGTGTGTGTGTATGTCTGCTCTGTGTGCACCAGGCCATACATTTTTATGTGTGTACACTACCATGCTTGCGTGCTGTATGCCCTGTGCATTGCTTCTTGCTTGATTTGTGTATGTGCAAGAAAGGATGCGGTAATGACATCTTGCCTCAGCATTGTTCAGTGTATATGTGATTTTGTGTTTGTGTATGTGTGTGTGATCAAAACACACTTGGGTTTAATGTCTTGGCCCCCAGTGGTACATCCAAAGCGCTTTAGCTGAGGCAGGGAAGAAGAGAGGGATGCAAGAAGGCTGTAGAGATGGGGTGGAGGTGCGGGTCAGGGAGGAGGAAGGATTGGCATTTCAATATCCTGAGAGGATTACTGGCCGGGCTTTAGATGGCTGGTCCCCGCGGAGTTACATGGGCCTGAGAGATGGACGCATAAAGGGAGGCGAGGAGAGAAGGATGAATATAGAAGTGGAGGGATGGGGAGAGGTGAGCGGTGTAGCATTGTGAGCAGGATGCCTTCTGGGTGCAGGGGAAAGGAGGCATGGGGTGAAGAGCCAAAGCAAGAATACATGCATTTCTTCAAAAATGGTGTGCATACTGTAGAAACTTTTTTGTCTGAACTATCTGGTGCTTTAAACAAGTATCTGTGAAAACTGCACATGGAGTACATTTACAAGTTCCTGGGTGT